CCGACACAGTGAAACGGTTCTACAATGCGCTTCGCTCGTCACGTCGAGGAACCTGCCCGTGAAGCCGAGCCAGGGCAGGCCACGCGTAGAGTAGCCATCAACTATGCCAAATTGTACCATGTAGAGGATTTCCATGGTACAGAATGCCATCGATATGGTGGACAACTTGGCTGAGCGCTTTATGGTCAGGTACAAGGCGGCGAAAAGCATACAATTGAAGATGATCCCCAAAGCAACCGTCGGAATCATGAGCAATGCCAGGATGGAGCCGACGAAAGAGAAGAAATCACAGTGAATGTTGGCGCTTTTGTCGTGGAACGTTATTTGTGCGCAGTCCAAGTACATTTTAGAGTTGAACATAGAATCCTCATCCTCCATAATTAGCGCTTTCGAGAAATGTGTGTATTTTCAGCAAATAATTACGCACCCGATCAAGATAGATTACAAAGGAGGAAGCCTGGCATGGCGGGTCTTGGAATGGGTCGATTAGGAAATTTTGAAAATCACAACATTTTAATGAGAATGTGTAAATTTGCGTCTCAGTGGGGAAAAAGAATAGAGATTTGCAATTGAAGCAAAATAAAATAACAAAGGATTTAAGAACAGAAAATAAGATGAGGTCAGGTAAGATGAGGCAAGAATAAATGAAATAGGACAGAAAATGAGAAAAGATGTGATGAAATGAGATGAAGCGAATTGAAGGCTTTCCGTAGCCTAGCAACGCCGTCTAATCCGTTAAATCCGTCTCTCTTTAAAAGACAGGATTTCCTGAATTCGCCTCATTCAAACCTACTACGACCGCATAAACTCCCCTCCTTTTACTTTCCGTTTATAAGCAGAGATTCGAGTAAAACAGTACTATGAAATATATTCACCCTATTTCGTTTAAGGTAGCAGAATTCTCCCACAATGAATTTCACATAAACTTGCTTTCCCAAAAGTGCTTCTCATACAGGCACCAGTGAACTGCAGTTTCGACCTCGCATAGGTCTTGTCAACACCTACAGCGGGAGTCGAATCGTGACAGTCCAGCAGTTGAGCCTGACATGTTACCATTTTGCAACATTGCCACGATTGCCCCGGGGTCACAGGGCAGATGTGATTTTCAATGAAGGCCAGACATTTTCCCTTATCACATTCTTGGGTGAAAGTGTCGATGACGTACAGTTATATTTGCTATGACGATCGACTATATTACTTATTTCCCGTTTATCAGCAG